AATGGATCTATGAACTATCATCATTATTCCACCCATCCGCAAGCTTATGTTTCCATGACAAGTTATGTATTTCGTTATGGGGTTACGGAGTTCAAGCAAACGAGTTATGAGCGAGGGCGACTAGATTAGGTGAAACTTTAATGCATCCTTTACAGAGTGCGGAATAAAACAAAAATTTTTCTTTATTTAAAGGACTCGAGATCATGTTATTAAATCAACTAATCATATATTTATGAATTAAAGTATTAAATAAAGAATTACCTCTTATAGCACGGATTTAAATTCTTTAACAGAGAAAGGAGTCATCTAAGCGTCCGGTCTCTATTGATAATCCATGTAATCCAAGAAGCACTCAAAATTGATAGAGTGCTAGCTCTACCTTTTTTGACTTTGTTTGGTGTTTTACTTTAGAAATCAAATCAGGAAAATTGTGCAAAAGGAGAGAGGTGGCATAATTTTTAGGGAAGGGAGAAAACTATTTTCTCCTTATTTTTCTTAATTCCGAGTAGTTGTAAATATTTTCTCTCTTAGTTATGTGTCTCTCTCTCTCTTAATTAACCTTCATGCCGCACCTCTCCTCCTACTTATAGGAGAGAGTTTTTCGTTGCCCTCAAAGGACAAGGAGGGGTGACAACTAGTCCTAAAAAGAACTTTTAGTTGTCGCTTCCTAATTCTCGAAGGATTAGGAGTTATTATGCATGTGGATTTTTTTATCTTATCCTTTAAAACATTCATCTTTAACCAATAAGGTTCATATTTATCCTTCCATAAAAATATATTTTATACTTTTAATTAAACCTATTGGCCCAATTAATTTGGACTATGCAAATAAATTAAGTTAGATAATTTTAGGTGGCCTACATTAGAAAACAATTTTCTAAAATATCCTTAAATCTAAATTAGGAAACTAATTTTCTTTTTAGGTTATTTACTTCCAAATTTGAAACCGACTTCCAAATTAGGAAACTAATTTCTAAAATAGGAAACTTTTCATTTTCAAAAACTTTTTCAAAAATAGAAAACTTTCAATTTAGAAACTTTTTCTAACATCTTTACTTCTCTTTTATTATGTGAATGCTTAAACTTATGCGTGTGACTCAATAGGCTCCTAGATATGTTGGCAATATGTCAATAATAAAAATACCACTTTTATCTCTTGACACATAAATGAAGATTGGCCTCTAGCAAGACATTATGACTATCTAATTCTCTAGGAGGATTAATTAATTCTAATTACCTTTCATAAACATGATTATCATACAATTCAATCCTCATGTCAACTTATCATAGTGTAATCACGAACTTGGTTATTCGTCTTATTCGATCATGATCACATAAGTTTTCTTTGATTTTCAAATGTCTTAACTCTTAGAGTAAACCAACTATGCTCTATTAGTGTACTCCTGCCATGGTCATAGATTTCTTGAGCAAGCATTTATCGAAGTGCAATGTGATAACTTCTTTAGCATACAAGGAATGACATGTTCTATCTTAATCATCCACTTACTTTTATTAGATTCCTAGTGCACCTAATGAATCACCCACGTGTAACCTTTTATTGGGTCCATCGAAACGAGTGTCAAAGTACAAAAATCCTTGATGAGATAACCATGATGACTTAAGTCTAAGGACTAATTGTACCCATCTCGTATGGATTTCCATATATTAAATCAAATGGATTCTCCTAACTAGTTAAGTCCAAGTGATATGTTCTCTAATATAAATCACCTAAGCACTTTCTTTGGCATCATCATGCCAATAGGTATGAGATCTCCTACGGCTATTATATAGTATGAGCATAGTACTCACAAGTTTAACTCGCATATAGTCAATGTCCATTCTTAACAATGCTATAACTTGGGACATTTAATGATATTATTTATGTGCATTAGTATTTATCTCACATCTTTTTATCAATCAATAATGCAAATGCATATCATATAGACTTCTATCTAATTCTATTCAATAAATAAATATAAGATATAAGAATTAATAGAAAGACTTTATTATTAATAAAATAAATAATGCAATAATACAATAACTCAAACTCATCCAAACATAGTTGAATTTTGGACACCTACACTAACAAAACTATTCGCTAGGAGGAAAGTATAAATTGAATTCGGATGGTGCATCAAGAAATAACATATGTCGTGAGGGAGGAATTTTAAGGGATGACATGGGTAACCCGTCGATGGCTTTCTCTAAATTCTATGGCTATGGGACCAACTCTAGAGGAAAAGCATTGGCATTGTTAGATGACCTAAAAATTTACAAGGACTTGGGTTTTTCGATGGATAAAGTACAAGTAGATTCAAGCATTGGTGATAGGTTATTTGTCTTATGTTATATATTGTCTCTCGCCAATTATCTTATATAACTCAAGAGTATAGGTTGCTTATCTCACCATACACTAATATCCCACATGCGTATAGAGATGGCAATATGATAGTCGATCGGTTAGTTGACTGGGCCTATTGGCATTCTTCTTTCAAGATAGTTACTAATCCAGATACCTTGTCTATTTCTTGTAGAGTTGCAATATCCGATGATAAACTAGGCTTCCATAATTTTCGATCATAGCATAACAACACTTATGGCTAGGTTAGTGTGGCTAAAGAGGTTTTAACATTTAATTGTTATAACTCCAAGTAGGATTTGATTTTATATAGTTAATGTGAATTTTTTTGTAGGAACTCTCTTGTAAATTTTAGGGGCTTAGGTTTCCTTATCATTTCAATAAGTTGGGCTAGGTCGGATTATCCCCCTTGTATCTTTCCACGTTGGTTATTGAATATACTTAACGACGTACCACCCTCGTTTCCAAAAGAAAAAAAAAAAAGCAAAATAGAAGAGCAAAATAGAGAAAGTTAGAAAATGGACAATGGACATTATTGAAGCATTAATTTATTTGGCAAAAAAAGGATAAAAAGATTCATATCCAACGACAAGGAGAGGGATGTAAGGGGTAATCAATGGTTGAAAAAAACTATAGCATCTACGAGTGTTTACGTGTCACAATGAACGATCCGTAAAAAATAATACCACCATCTACTTTTATTTGGCAAAAAAAAAAAAAAAGAGGATAAAAAGATTCACATCCAACGATAAGGAGAGGGCTATAGGAGGCAACCAACGGCTAAAAAAAAAAAACTATAAAATCCATAGTGATTATGTATCACAATGAATAGTCTATCTAAAGTAATATTACCATATGATTTTATTTTACAAAAAAAAAAAAAAAGGGACAAAAAGATTCAAGCCAATGGCAAGGAGAGGGTTGGAGGAGAATTTTTTCCCAAACCAACATACTTTTAAATCTTTATTCTTTAAATAGGGTATTTTTAAACTTAATTCTTAAATAAATGCACTTTTTTACTGCATCAGATTTTTTTTTATCTATATCATTTTTTCTTAATTACTGAAAAATAATTTCATTATGTTAAATAACTTCTTTATTTTATGCTTTTCATTAATTAAAAAAAACGTTATGACCTCTCAACTTAAAAAAAAGAAAAACAAACCTTTTATTCTTTTTAGCCTTAGGGCTGCCGCCGGACCTAAGGCTTGTAAGGGGATCAGAGTGAAGGCAAGAAATGAGAACTTGGAGTAGGCATTAAGGTATATGAACTTCAGCTTATGTGCAGGGGGATCAGATTCACTCTTAAGGAATCTCTTGCAAGCTCCAGATTATCCTCTGCAATAAAGTCAGGGGCTTGTGAGAGAAGCTTTAAAGTACCTTTTTTTGGTGATTAAGAGTTTGATTAACAAGCAAACATCTTTTCAACCTCAAGTGAACTTCGGTATAAGAACTCCTTTTTTACATTCATTTGGTAGTCTACAATACCTTTATCATCCAATATAACTCTATTTGCTTTAGCTGAATGTTGGATAATTTTTTGTATCTTTTGACTCTTTTATCGTGTGTTTTGTATGGAATAATCATTGAATGATAAAAAAAAAAAAAGACTCCTCAATCCCAAACATGTTTACCAAATAGAAGTTCATTGAAAATTTTGATCGAACACCTTATGTGCATGGTGCATGATAATAGACATTCCATTCAAAATCTTGTTTATAATATTGTAATTAAAATATGACATGTATGCATAATAGTTAGCAGATAAAAAATAAATTATAATCTAGAAAGATTTTAATGTGTTTAAGAGTGTTATTCAAATTTTCATAAAATAGTTAAGGAAAATAAAAAAAATTAAGAATCCATATTCTTTTAATTATTTATGAAATAATATTTTAGTTTTAATTAGAATTATATATATATATATATATATATATATATATATATATATATATATATATATATTTTTTTCGAAATGGAGCTTACAAGGCATATAGTATCCTAGATTGAGAAATAAATTTAAAACAATCATATTTTAATAATATAGATTTAAAACAACCCTAATTTAAAATAAAAGAAACAAAAGACTCGTTGTAGGAGGCAACCTATGACCGAAAAAAAACTTTAGTATCAACAGTTATTATGTGTTACAATTAACAATCTATCAATAATAATAGCACCATCTACTTTAGTTTTTTTTTTTGTAATATATCACAGCGAACAGTATGTCATCAGTAATACCACCATCTGCTTTAGTTGTTTGTTTGGGCTTTTTTTTTTTTTTTTTTTTGTGTAATAGTTAATAGTTAATGTCCATTGCCCAACGCCTTCTGCAACAAAAGATGCTATGGACTACTTTCTTACAAAGCTTGAAATTGTTCCAAGCCCATACAGGTAACCCAAGACAAAAAAAAAACAAAAGCCCAGCCCAAATTACAGTCCCAATGAGAATAAGATATAAATCCAAGGACCTTTAAGCAAATACAAATAATATTGCCCCACTCCTAAAACCCTAGCCACTCCCTTCATATAAAGTCCCCTCTTTCAGCCGCTCTCTGTCGTTCTCTGCAACTCCGCAAACAAGCTCGGCCATCAACCCTATTAGCATCCCGAGGCTTCTAAAACTAATCAGCTTTTAGCCATGGTAAGTGAAATCTTTTCACGTCCTTAACTCGATTCGTCGTACGCACATACCCTTGTTTTTTCTGTTGTTTTTTTTTTAATATATATCTGATTGGGAGGTCTGGAATAATGGAAAATTTTCTTTGTTATCTGCTTTGTTTCCGAGAAAATAACCAAGAAAGACAAAAGGGAAGTGGGTTTTTGCTAACGTTTCGTACATTTGACCTTGCATCTGTTTTAGGCTGACCAAAATTTGGCAATCGTAGCAAAGAAATTGTTGTTTTATAAGTGGTTTTTAGTGCTAGCATCCAGACACTTGTTTTGTGCCTTGTTTGATCGTTCATGACCGTGCTAGTATATACGTTCGCTATATACTCTAGGGAAGTGGGGTTTAGTTTTATCATCTTTAGATTTAGATTTTTCGTCTTTTTGTGGGTTTTGTTCTGATACAATTTTGTTGATAATTTTATAGTCGAGGAGAAAGACAAGAGAGCCAAAGGAAGAAAATGTTACTCTTGGCCCAACTGTCCGGGAGGGAGAGCATGTTTTCGGAGTGGCTCACATTTATGCTTCATTTAATGATACCTTTATTGTGAGTATATATTCATATTTGATAGAATGAATTTTAAATATTTACAATATTTTATGGTTTGAGTTCATCTTTAAGTGATTTTTCTTGGCTGAATAAACACAGCATGTGACTGATCTGTCTGGGAGGGAAACCCTGGTTCGCATTACTGGTATGTGTTTTACAATGTCTTAATTTTTCTTTTAATAATTTGCTTCTTCTTGGATCCGAGTAATACTTGAAGGTATATAAGCTTGTTAGCTGTTCTACGTGCCTCTTTTGTCTCAATTTTAGTTTTAAATAATTAAAAGCAACTTGTTTGAGTGTTCTGCTATGTTGCCTGTCCTCAGGTGTGTATTAGACATGGCTGAGTGTTCTGTCCAACATGGGATTGTTGTATAGTGGAGAGTTGATGTAATGTGGGTCTTTTGATTATCTGAAAATACAATTACTTAGTGAATTCATCTTTAGTTATCATGGATTTGATTGTTCAAGCATTCACGTTAACACCTCTCTTTGTAAATAGAGATGGCTAACTTTGATAGCGGATACTTTTTGAGCTGTCATACAATTGGGTAATTAGCATTATTTTGGTTCTGCATTCACTGATAAAACTGTTGCTTTGGCATATGGCATGAGGCCATTGTTTCTGCAATTAAGGTAAGTCTCTATCTCCCTGTACTTGAACATATACAGGTGGAATGAAGGTTAAAGCTGACAGGGATGAATCTTCACCATATGCTGCTATGCTTGCTGCACAGGATGTTTCACAGAGATGCAAGGTATTTGTTCTGTCATATACTTGATAAATTGATTTTAGAAAATTCTCTGTTAATTTATAAGCTGTGTATTTTCAAGCTGTTTCATTAAAATTAACCTGGTTTTGAAACTAACAGGAACTTGGCATTACTGCTCTTCACATCAAGCTCCGTGCTACAGGAGGTAACAAAACTAAGACACCTGGTCCAGGTGCTCAATCTGCTCTGAGGGCACTGGCTCGTTCTGGAATGAAAATTGGTCGCATTGGTAAGACATTGATATGAAATAAAGTTCTGGAACCATTGATTAAGATTAGGATTTTAGGAGTTTTAAGATGCAAGTGAGTTTTTTTCTTGGCTTCAGCTGTTGTTGGGGATGCTTGTAGATTGAACCTTAATTCTTTGAGGCATCAGTTTACGTTCCCTGTCTTACGGCTCTATGTATTTGGTTACTTTGTTTCTCAAGGTTTCAGGAGCTTAACATTTTATATTTGCTATGTGCCTTGAAAGAATGTCCATTTAGTAATGGAACTAGAGAAGCATCTTTGTGTGAATCTTATCTTATTGGCAGTAAATTTCATGTTTTTTATTTTGTTGATGTCTTTTATGTTTCCAGAGGACGTCACACCAATTCCTACAGACAGCACCCGCAGAAAGGGTGGCAGAAGGGGAAGAAGGCTGTAAGCTGTCTCTCATCAGAGCAATTCCAGTTTGGTGGTGGTGCTTTGATTGTGTGGTGATGGTTCTTTTCAAGTCAGGACGTTTTTGTAGTTCTTATTATCCTATGGGGAGTTGTCAGACTTTGAATTGATATTTAAACTTTGTAGAAACATAACGATATGGAGTTTTGCTTGTCTCTGACCTTGATGTTCTGATTGAGGTCATTACTTTTACTGAAATTTTTTTTTAATTCACTATGGCAAAGATATTTTGTTTGGCAGCAGATGGTGTAGGCAAACCTGCCAAACTCCAGTGATAACTGATAGAAACTAGAAAATGGTTGAGCTGCAATTATCTTTGTCATCCCTTCTCGTTATTTTTGAATCTGGTGTCTTATTCAGAGACAATAGCCTTTGCATTTAGCATATATTCCAAATGTGAATCTTACAGGTTAGTAGTGATGGGATTGGAACTTATCCCTTCTTGTTCGTGTCTTCAGTAAGATCTTGGAATAATTTCATACGGCTAATCGTTCTGAAAGTGCCCTTTTATCTTTGGCATGATGATGATACTCTGATGTGGTTCAAATTGTCTGGATGTCTTTTTGTGGCAAATGGTAAAACCTAGGGAACATTACAGAGGTCTTCTTGAATCGCTTAAACTTCTAATCCCACTATTAAGTTTTCAATCCTCATTTTTCATGCATACTAGTGAGGTTAGGAGAAAACATTTGTAACTGCTATCGTAGGTTCAGAAATAGTCAGCAACCTTCTGGAACACTATTCCTTAGGAGTAACTTCAGAAAACAAGAATCCTCTGGTTAATATCGTCTTCTTAATTCAGCAGAAGTGACTGCAGGAAAACAAAGAATGCCCTGTTTAACATCGAGTATCGTTCAGACTTTTCTGTTGAAGGTTCAAAGATGGATTATGGAAAGTAATTATTAGCAATATAAAACAAGAAAATTAAGACTTATTATTAAGCAAAGAACATCTGAACAATAAGCTCGCTCCTGCACTGTCAGGTTGATTATTTAATACAAACCATAATGAGGAAAGATAGAGAGGGAGGGAAGTTAGCGATGGCAGAAGATCACTCGACTGAAAAGGAACAAAAGGAAACTAGTGGTAACTATTAATGAAGTCTATCCTAAAGGTTTGGGTGCAAGACCAGCCTTTAGAGCTTGAATGGTGGCAACAGCAGTCATGAAGGCTTTTGCCAAGATGTTATCATCAATGCCAGTGGCGAAGAGGGTAGTAGGGATTGATACAGTCCCTGCACTGGCACTTCCGAAGGCAGAAATTGCCAAAGCTGGATTTTGAGCATCGGCATTGTATTGGAAGTGAACAAGCCCCTTAGGGAAGATGAACATGTCACCACCCTGGAGCGTCTGGGTGAAGAGCTAGTTAGTTCTGTCACCGAATCCTACTTGAAGAGAACCATCAACGAGGAAAAGGAGCTCAGCTGAGCGAGGATGAGTGTGAGGTGGGTTAGTAGTGCCACCTGGGAATTGAAGCACTCCATAAGAAACACTTTGCCCGAAAAGAGCAGGGAACTCAGCTGCACTTACTTTGGTGGCCTTGAAAGCTGAAGGTAGCGGTGCACCACCAAGGGCACGCATTCCAGAGAATGTGAAGAATGTTCCATCAACTTTTGGTTACATTTCGTGGGACTAAGAAATCAGAAACAATATCTGGGTCTCCGGCCATTGCCAACCGGACGAAGGCAAATGTGGCTACTAGCAGGAAGATGAATTTGAAGGTGGATGTAGCTGAGGCCATAACAAAGAACTTCATGTGAAAACGGTAGGGCTACTACAATCTGATAGGGAATTTGTGATATGTTGATTGATGTGATGATGTGCTTGATTTTGACAGATATATATAGGGAGTGGAAACTTACAGAAAGGTAACCCTATTAGGCAGGGATCTTGGATGATAATAATCGATGAACATTACAACGTCATTGTTAATGCAGTCAGTAGTTTGATTTGGTCAATTGTCTAGCAGAATACGTAGATTTTACAAATACTTACATTCTTAATCTGTCTGATAAATAATTTAGGAATACAACTATTTGTAACGAAGTTGTTCACAATGTTAACAAACTGTTTTTTCAGCAGTATGGAAATCCAATTTCCATTCAGTGTAAGCTCTTCCACAGTCCAGATTAGAAAGATGAGAGTACAAGCTTTGAAAAGAACATGATCTATCCGGCTGCAGGCCAATGCTAGATTCCTAAATTGGTTCATTAGGAAGAAAGCCAAATTCATGACCCTATAAATACGGTTTTGGAGTAAGATACACATCAAAAGCCTTCTTGTGTGCCACTGCAAGTCTTACTCAAATCCAGAATACAACTAATCCCAGAATGGCCTCAACTTTGCTAAAAAAACATCCTTCCCTTTCTTTTAGCTGCCTTGGCCCCTTCTTGGGTGGTTCAGGCAAGCGATCCTGATATTGTATCAGACTTCATTGTCCCAGAAAACTCAACCGCATCCTGATGCAGACTTCTTCACTTTTACTGGAATCCGCAGTATAACCCCCAATCCACCAAACTTTAAGGTAACAAAAGCTAGCATGGCAGAGTTCCCTGCTCTTAACGGTCAGAGCGTCTCCTTTGTTTTTCTCCAGTTTCCTGCCGGCAGTGTTAACCCTCCTCACACACACCCCCGTTCTGCTGAGCTCCTTTTTCTTGTCTATGGCAGTCTTGAGTTTGGCTTTATTGACACAACCAACAAACTCTACACTCAAACGCTTCAAATTGGTGACACGTTCGTTTTCCCGAAGGGACTCGTTCACTTTCAATACAATGCTGACTCCGAGAACCCTGCCATCTCTATCTCTTCGTTTGGTAGTGCAAATGCTGGAACTGCCTTAGTTCCTACTACAGTTTTTGGGACCTGAATTGATGATGCGGTCCTTGCAAAGGCCTTCCAAACTGATGTTGCTAATATCCAAAAGATCAAGGCAGGCCTTGCAGGCAAGGCTTAAACTAAAGCTCCCTTCCCCTTTACTTCCTGTTGAGACTACGCCTATTTCATTTTTCATCATCTTTTTTTTTTTATGGGGGATCAAGATTCAATGCCTATAAGCTATAGCAGCTATTTTTCAAATTCAGACCACATATGTTGAAGTAGATTTAATGTTCATGTTTCATTTAACCTTGGTTTTTTTTTTGCCTTACGTGTTTTATGAAAGATAATTCTAGCGTTAATCATTTGATTGGAACTGAATTATTGTTATCAATTGTCTGACAACATTTAGTTTTTGAAGCTGAAAGCAATTCTACGTAAAATGAATCATCTCATATTGCTCAAACTTGATCTATTCTTCAAACATAGTTTTGATGCTTGCTTGATTCAAGTAGTACAAGAGTACAACAAATAACAAATAGAAAAAGAATCAAGAATAGAAACAGGAAATAAATCAAGGAAAAAAAAAAGCATCAATAAAGAAGGGTGAAAACAGAACAGTTTGTAGGAGGACAAGTCTAATCAGTTAAATAAATTTCCAAATCCACTAGAACTTCCACCAGAATTTCCACTAGAAGGATTAACAGCTCGGCATGTTTTCCTGATCTCCCCGTCGTTGTCAGTCTTGACGTCAACAATTCCCAACTTAATCATGGCCCGACCAAATTGAAAAATGAAGCCTTCGCTTTTAGCTATTGTTCCCACTGTGACTTTGGTCTTTGAGTTCAATGCGAGCTGCTGATCAACTTCCAGAATTCCATTACCTAAAAGTATTTGCTCGTAGAAAGATTTGTCAACTGAAGAAGAATTAAGAGGATTCTGGTCGAGATTAGCTGACTTGCTACTGCCAGCATTTTGAGGACAGAGATTTTGTAGCGTGCTCAGTAATGTTTTATTCATGGTCTGGTCAGGACTGCCACTGTTGTGGAAATTGTAAAGACGATTTTCAAAGAGAGCACAATGTGCTATCCCAACACTGTGACCACCTCCTATACATGATCAAAAGATCCAAAGAAGCAAGTAAATCAGTTATGGAGCTTGGACATTTTATTTCATGCCTGTAGGAAAGAAAGCAGCAAAAATTTAGACGATCATCAGAAATGGAAACATCACATACCAAGAAGATAAATCATGTCTGTAGCATTCAGCTTTGTACTAGCAAATACTTGAATAGATCGATCGATTGTGATACTTGGAGATGGTAGATTCACATTTTGAGCAGAAGATGTAAGACCATCTTTTCTTCCTGTTTGTACAGGGTACCACCCTTCCCCTAATTTTTTATAACTCTGCATGAGCACAAACATTTATCAATAATTTAGCTTGAACCATATTTGTTAATGTTGGTTTACATAAATTTTATTAGTCCATTTATTTTGTTAAGAATGAGATGCTCTGATTCTTTAAAGGGAATAGAAAAAAGAAAAAAATTATGTACCTCGGCAACAGCATCTCTGGTGGCCATTACTATAATATCTGCACAAGAGACAATTCCTGGACATGTATTTTCAATTTCTTCTTTTATCTCATCGATGAACTCATAACCCCTTACGCTTAGATTTGGCGGTGCTGTTTTCTCACTATTTGGCCCATCCAGTAATATAGATGCATCACATCCCTTTCGACATCAAAACCAAAAAATAATAAAGAAATAATGACTTAGATTATGCAATATGCATGTAAGAATGTACGTATTGAATAAAAAAGATTGTAAAACCTTCTTACATTGACAAAACAATCATGAAATTGCATGCGAAGAAGAGCAGCCACTATTGTCGAGTCAACAATGAATCTTTCTTGGACTTTCTTGGCTACAATGTTCTCAACATTTTGCTGAAATCCATTTTTGTCTCTGCATTTTCCGCTGTAGAATCCAAACCCCAACTCACCACTACATTGGCCAGTCAAGTTCAGAAAGACGAGGCTAAGTGCCAGTGCCAATGCAGCTACTCTTGGCATTTCCATTTGGAGCTACAAATATTGGATATGGAAACAAGAACATTCTGCTTTCTATTTATAAGGGATTGAAGATGAGAGAGATATGGAAAACTAGCAGGACAGGTTGAATGGTGTGCATGATCACTAGGTATTGTAATCAAACGTGCAGTCCTCAAAGGATATACTGGTGTTGGCACTAAATTAACGTGGGTGATATATATAGCATACTTCTTAATATTATTACAGAGAAATGGAACTGTCTGCTTTGCCCCCGGGATTTGGAGCTGACATGCAAAAGGAATATTATAATCAAGGTATTTGTTGCAGTGAATAATTAAGCAATAATCTATCTCATAAATAATTTAGTCTAATCCTGTCTAGATGTAGATATTGAAACAGAACAAAATTTCTTGTTTTACTCAAAAATCGTGCCCTCAAACATTTTAAACCTTCACATTTGCATACGGGGAAAGCAGGTTCAATGACACCAGAAGCGCGCGTGATATTCATTTTTAACAAGTACAGTTTGTGGTTTCAATTTGGACAATGGATGATCGGGAAGAAGAAGAAGAAGAAGAAGAAGACAATCAAGTGTTTATTATAGTATACATTCAAGTCCTCTAAATTAAAGATGGTCTCATACCGAGGGATGTATTGATGAAATACATTTGATGATGGTATAAATGTATAATTTTTCATTTTTTTTAAAAAAGATTTTGGCTTTAATTTTTTAAAATATTTTACAGAAAATTTATTTCTTTCCTAAGATTTTCCCCTTTTTTAAAATAAAAGAGTTAGCTAAAAATAAATAAATAAAATAGGCAACATAAATAAATAAAAAATTAACAAAAAATTTCATTTTTTTTTTAACTTTTTAAAGTAAAGTAAATTTTTTTCATCATAAATAAAAACGAAAAAATTAGAAACCAATGGTAAATAAATTCAAAATTAGCAAAATAATATATATAGAATTGTTAATCAATTTTTTTAAAAAAATTAGAACCAATATGTTCTCCCTTGCTTTATGAGTGAATTAATAAAAATTAATTGAGTTGATCGTGAACGCTAGTACTGTTCCACGGACTAATCCACGGACATCCAATTATTTGGTAATCAAATAATTAAATGCCTTCTCTTGATCGTAATGATACTGTCGTCATTCTTATGGGTCATTGTTAAACACCTCAATCAAATATATATATATATATATATATATATATATATATATATCATAAAGGGTTATTTTATTTTAAAAGTATATGAGTTTATTAATTTCTATCCAAATATTAATTCGTTCTTTATCAATTACTCTTGACGTTTCAATCATTAATGAACGAGGCCTTTTTGTCCATCTCTGTTAGCAAAACTAACATAAAGTAAATTTTTGTTGTGCAAATTTTAATTCTCTCTCAAAAGTATTGATAGTTTCTCAATTATCTTCTTTAAAAAAATTTCTCATCTGATTAGTTTAATGACATGTATATTTAATTTTATTTTGAAAGAAAATTAACCATAAAAAAAATAAAATCACAGAAAATATAAGTAATATGAATTTTAATTAAAAAAAAAAGGAAAAGGTAAAATTGGCTTAAGTTTTTTTAAAAGTTAGATCTTCACTTTATATATATATATAGTAAGTTCATTTAAAAAGAAATCATAAATCAACATGCTAAATATGCTTATTTTATTTTAAACAATTTTTTGTCAGTCTATAAAATTAGCATATATCTGGTTCTTGTACACTTTCATCTTGTTGCTTTCATAGGCAAATCAGTGCATCAATTTATTTGAGTTATTAAAAAAAGTATGTTAAATTTTTTTTCTAGAATAAAATTAAACGAACTATATGTACGATTTTTTTAATTAATTAAATTAGAAGTACCGTAGGATTTTTATTTTCGTTATCTTATGATTTTGTTGATTAAATATTATTTAAATATATTTTAGTGAATTTGACTTTGTTTTTTTTTTTTGGTTAAATTTTATATTGATTATTATTTATTTTTTTGTGCCATTGTTTTAAGTGAATTTGCTCTAAAATCAAAATTTTATATGTATCTTAAATTGAATAATGTGAAAAGGTTTTTTTGGGAGTTAACTGAAAAACTATAAGGGCAACGGTGGTGATTAAGTTTTTAAAATATAGTACAAAAACAACTTTATTGATAAATGGGAAAATATCAATGAGATGATTGATATAGAACGAAATTGATAGAACCATAGACTTTAGGGTAAAATAAAATTAACCCTATCCTAAAAACACAAACAACATATTATTTCTGTTATTTATAGTTTTAAATTTTGAAAAATTGATCGCAATCATCGTTGAAAGTTGTAATTTATTATAATACTAAATTAACAATAACAAGATGTTCCGAAATAGTTCTATAACATAAATGCTGTTATTTAAACCTATGCCCCTATCTACTACTAGTTCTCGGTATAATCCCCTAACTATATATTTTCTAAATTGTGTCTCAAACTTTCATCATTTTCACAATAGGGTCTTCCATTACCGTCCAGGAAAGAATCTTAGATAGCGCCATTAATATGCATGTGATTGTAGTGTGCATATTGTAAAATGTAAACTTAGATTTAAGAGACCCCTTGAAAAATAAAATCCCTAAAGTTTATGAAAGAGAAATAAAATAAACAAAGAGGCTTGGAGTAAAAAAAATAAAAATAACAAATTATCCGAAAAAAAATCAGATTGAATAAAAAACTAATAAAAATTAGAAAATCTAATTCGCCACCATCCTTTTTTGAGCAAAACCCAAAAAAAAAAAAGAAAAAGAAAAAAATACAAATGATAAAAATCGACCCAACAAAAAAATAAAATAGCTAAGTTTATTAAAATTTCTAGATTTCATATCCTTAAATTTTTTTCTAAAAAGATAGAGAGAGATAATTTATGTAAAAAAAGATTAAAAAAAAAACTCAAATTAAACAAAAGGAACTAAGCTTATTCTAAAAAATAAGATAAGATAAAATGCTAATAAAAATTAAAAGCAAAAGCCCTCTCTCGCTCTTTCTCGAGTGAACCCCAAAAAAAAAAAAAAATAATAATAATATCCACAAAATCCAGATGTTATATTAATCTCCCAACTATCAATAGTTTCTCAATGTAATCCTCCAAAATATGGATTTGTTTCTTGCTCATGACAAAAATGTGCGACGCTGTCATAGAGCATTCATAAACAGAGGGACCCAATTGACAAACTGATTAAAGATAGGTTCCCAATTGAGTACATTAGTTGATTAAAGATAGAATCTTAAATTTTGTTTATTTCTATTGATGAATTTTTATCAACCTCAAACTTTTATGCACCTTACTTAAATGCAAGGATTACAGAAATATGTGATTATCTCATTCATAGAAGAGCAAAGAATCAATCATGTTTTACGAACCAATTCCAAAAATTCACTTCACATTATAGGAATTATCAACTAAAGTTGCATACACCTTATGGTCTATTTGATAATATTTGGCAATTTTCAAAACCTTTAAATGCCATATCTAGCTTTTAACATTATAATAAGACAAGTTTTTCATGAATTATAGTTCAAAACTTTCCTTATGGAGAGAGACCTAATACTTTTATTTTTACAGTTATTTTGAATATTCAATTTTAGTTTTCCCAAAGAGGAAGGAAATATTGTACTAAATCTTCTGTAATGCTATACAAGTAAACAAATTAAAAAAAAAAAAATTTACAAAAGCTAATATGTTAATTATTTTTGCTCCATTTTTTTTAAATTTTTTGGTTTAAACTTTATGGCCATAATACAAGAAAAATTATTAAATTTCTTTAAATATATTAAGCTGATGTGAAAAAAAAATAATAATCTTGATTCACATAATACGATAACATTCTTACGTAGCATTTGTTAGTATATTTTTTATTTATTCGGACAGCATTTTTGTAAATCTTTAATTATATTTCCAAAATTCTGAATTTTGCAAAAAAGGCCATATTATATAGAGTTAAGCCAACTCAGATCCCACATTGGCATCTATAGAAATCACTATGGTTTGTCGCTATTAAAATCACGAAAATCTCCTCCAATAAACACCAGCCCATAAATCACAAACAAGCCCAGTCCTGTCATTTCAAAACCTCACCACTGCGGCATGGTCCTATACTTCTTGCCATCCATTTCTCTGCAAAACCCACTACCAACCTCTCATCTATAGCAACAGTAAGTAAGAAGAAGAGGAGAGTAATTATCTCCAAAATTCATGGGCAAAAAGATAAAATGGAGCTGGACCTCCGCTTTAGTTGGAGCAGCTTCAGCTACAGCAGCCATGGCTCTAATGAGCGCCAAGCCAAAAGACCCAACATTCCATTTAATCAAAATCGACTTCACTTCCTTCAATTTCCAATTTCCGGTCATTGACACCGAGCTGATCCTCACCGTACACGTCACCAACCCCAACATCACACCCATCCACTACTCCTCTACTACCATGTCAATCTTCTACGACGGTTCTCTCCTCGGCTCGGCTGAAGTCCAAGCTGGGTCGCAGCGGTCAAGGTCTTGTGAGTTGCTTAAGCTCCCGGCCCGGCTTGATGGGGTGGAGCTGATGACTAACCATGCCGCGAAGTTTTTCAGTGATGTGGCAAAGAGGCAGATGGTTCTTGAAGCCAAGGTGGATATTGGTGGTACGGCAAAGATGTTATGGTGGGGCCACAGGTTTAACGTGCACGTGGATAGTCATCTTACCGTTGATCCTGTCTTTCTTGATGTCATTGATCAAGAAAATAAGTCACGGCTTGAATTTTTTATTTGTTGAGGTTTGAGGATGTTGTCTCAAAGTTGGAAATGCAACGAAATTGTTTGGAATATTTTGCAAGAGATGAGATGATATTTATTGTGGAGGTCCATGTTGTTTTCATACGTGGAGAAGTGGTTAATACATGAAACTAACGTTTAAATTTTTCTTGTTTGCTTGACGGGACTTTGAAGACGTTTTTACAAAATGGAGCAAAATGCATCTGGGCTGAAAAAAACATTTTTAAGAGTTCTTCTTTTTTTTTTTTTTAGAACAATCTAAAACTATCTGAAAAAAATATCAATTAGTCCAAATAAAGACATCTGGAAAAACATCTTGCATGATCTGAATGCTGATTTAAAAATCAATATTTTGTTTATAAATATGCTGTTTATAGTCCGCGGTTAGAAATGACAAACAATGAAGAGGATTGCTCATCTTTTCTGTGTTCTATGTGTGAAATTCAAACACAGTAAATTGTGTCAATACTAACCAGATTTCAATCCATATCAGAAAAGCTACATTTTGTTTATAAATAGACCGTGTATACTCTATTGCTGGATTGAATATTTCACGTCTAGAAATGACAGACGATGGAGAAAATTGCTCATCTTTTTCTGTATGTTTTGTATGTGTGAAAATACACGAGTTTCTAAAACTTGGCTCATTCTCCTAAATTGTAATCATCTACTTTTTTATAAGATGTTGAAAATTATTTCACTAAATAGAATCAAGGGACAAATATTGTTTTCGGAAAATAACTATCCAAAAGTCGAAACTGCCGTGTTACAGGAGTACGTTTAATTGTTTCTTAAAAATGGATTTGGCTGATGACATGTTTACAGAATCCTTTCAGATCAATGGTTGTTTATTTTATTTTTTTTAACAGAAGTTAAAGGTTAGTTAAGTAAACATGTGATTTAGTTATTTGATTTTGAGATAAAATCTATAATAATTTTGAATTTGAAGGTCAAAAAACAGTTCAATGCAAACCAAAATTATATTTCTCCACTATATATTAAGGTTGGATAAAAAGCCAAACTTAGTTGTCCGATCCCCAGCAGTACATATGTTATCATGACAAGGTAATATTGTAGTGAAAATGTCAAAACACACAAGTCCAACCATACACAAGCAAGTCAGATGTTGGAACCAAAAGATCTTTCCAAAAGCAACCAAAAAGATCAAAGCTGCGCGTAGAAGTTCAAGGTCAAGTGCAGATTGGCGCAGGCCAGACTGCCAGTACTCTATCGATGCAACTATCCTCGGCTGTGGTACCCCATGAACTCATTTTGTTCATTGTTTCTTGAAACCCTCCAAGGGCCTGTATAAGAACTCCTCGGTGCATAATCACCTCTCCCTGTCCCAGGGGCCCGGCTAGAAGGGTTTGCAGCCAGATGTCTGTTGAACTGCCCAGCATAGTTCCAATTTGTAGTGCGCCATTGCCCACCTCCACCACTCTGAGAAGAACCGTTGGCATGGAATTGTGGATTCTGGCACCATGCATTGTTTCGGTTATTATATGTTGCGACATTTGTAGATGGCCAGAAACTGTTATTCGCTGACTGAACATTGGCGTACGACCTGCTGCTGCCCTGAGTGGATTCTGATATCTTAAGATTATGGAAATCTCTGACTTCATGGGAAACATTCCCTCTTGATCTGCCAGCGCCCGACCCTGCCCCAGCTCCTTTGTGAACAGGCTCTGATGTAATTTTCGAACTATAGTTGCTAGGTGTCCATTTCGGAGCCATATCCCTCTCATTCCCAAGAAATGAATTTCCATCGTTGTTTTGAATCGGCAATCTGTGTTTCCAACCATGTAATTACCACAGATAAATAAAATCGCCAGAAGTGAAAAAGGGATATATAGAATCAAACCTTGTGTTTCTGTTTCCTGGATATTCATGCCAAAGATGCGTCTCTTCAATGTCGCCTTCAGTAATAGTCTGAAAACATGTAATAAAACGACTTAATTATTCACATTACAATGGTCAAGGCAAGATATGACTTCGGGTTTTACATTTAGCATCACATTGACTATATTTTCTTCATGGAAGCATTTTTGGAACTCAATTTTAGGACTGTAAAAGTTGTTCAGCATTATTCTGAGTCATAGTTCTGTTTCAAAAGCATTTTAGTAAAATTGATTGCAATTAACAATGTCACAGCAGTATGGTTTCTGATGATCAGCAGCTTGTATGCTAATAATGATGGTTAAGTACCTTCGGAGGAAAATCCACTCGCTCTAAAGGACGGAGAATATGCAGACTTCCCTTAGGTATCTCAAATTGAATACACCTACAACATTCAATGATAAGAGAGAGAACAGATACATAAGCTGCGATGACGGGGAAAAAAAAAATTAACGCTAAATCAAGTTTCTTACAAGGTATTATTTATTCCTTGAATGTCAGAAAAGTCTTCTGTACACAAGCGAATGGATCCACCAATTCCAGTACTACAATAGAGATTAACAAGCGAGATAAAAGATGTATTCGGGAAAGACAACTCAAGCAAAGACTTAATTCAGAAAAACAGAACACTTGATCAACCCCAAAATATTATCCATCCTGATTAATTCTTGTGGCCTTCCAGACACCATATTTGAAACAAGCGAAAGAAATTGTGAGTCCGAAACATTCGATCTTCTCACAAGCAGCTTATCAATATTCTCCGAATTTCTTTGAGCTTCGTCTTTCTGTAAAATAATACATTTCAAAACGACAAAAAGCCAGTTCTTATAAACATGGCTCCAACATATGGTCTAATAGGTTCGTTAACAAAATTTCAACACGAATTACTTACATTCAGTTCCTTCTCTGCTTTTCTGGTCTCCGCCAAAAGCCGTTCTTCATTAATAAAACTGAGCTTGCATATCCCCTTAGAAGACAATTGACAGTTACACATATTAGTTCCCCATTTAAAACATGCAGCAGGAGATAAAAAAAAACATAAAAAAATAAAATAAAAAAATTTCCTAACTTCCATCATGAGATGCCAATTGCCAAATATATGGAGAATGACGGTTTATGTGGGAGTAGAAAAGTTAAAAACATTAGCAAACCTGCCACACAAAGCGCTTTCCATCTGTATCAATCTCAAATTCTGTATGCATAAAAAATAAAAAACAAATGAGTAGTCTTTTTTCATGCTGCTGGAATAGATAACATTCAAGTCAAGAGATCTCACCTGTAGGATAAAAGTCCTTTATCGGGGAATTTTCTTCAGCCATGAGCACCTGATATGCTTTAGGTAGTGCATGAACACTATATGAGAGCACCATCAGTAAGTTTCCATCCTGCTTGGCTAACCCAAACGAGTACTCAGGGGGGATGAAAAAGCATGAGATATTTTACCTCCTTGGGGGCAGCACAGCCATGAGCTGATCAAAAGGTTTAAAGGGCGAACCCTTCGGGAACTTCACCTTGACCTGAGCAAGGCCCTTCAAATCTGAACAGAATGGTCCATAATGATATGGATAGTACCTGACATGAGGAGTCAATCTTTAGTTGCTAACCAGCATTGAGTTATAAGGTTATAAAACAGCAGACGAATCAGTAAAAAGGCATACCAAGTCCACGAAGGAACTCCTGCAAAGTAATATAAAAGTACCCACAGCAGTCCTTCAGTGTACTTTTGCACCTTAAAATCAAACAAAAAAGTGACATGTTAAGAGCTCCTTCTACAATCACATAACGATAACAGTACAAGTATGAAGCTTGCAATCTCGCAAAGAAGCGGAACTTTAAAATGCAATTTCCAAGAATCAAACATACTATTTCTTTCCTTGTGCTTTCAATATCAGTGGGACTTTCTGCAGAGAATTTCTCTTTGTAGTATCTCTTTCTCCAATCAGCTTTCCCCAATTTCACCTACACAAGAGTTCAACACTAACATTAACATCCATCTTAAATATGCGAGCCTATTGCTCGTTCAGCGAACATAAAAACAATACACATACCCTGTCTGGCAAATCACAATTTTTGAAAAGATCAGCTTTATGGCGAAGGCAAGTTTTCAATTTTTCTTTCAATTCTTTTGTATTTGCCACCATCTGCCATACAAAGATAGAGAGATTAGCCATCCATGAACAATTTTGAGCCACCATCTACTGAATGCGTAAGAATTTCTCCTCAAACAAGAATGAACGGGCACAATATTTCATTCAGGTTATCTTCATTTAAAAATATGAAATGAGAGAAGAGTACGAGTAACAATGTTCAGTTGCAAACATAGCATTTTTTTTTTTTTTTACTCCAACTGGGTTGAATACTAAAATTTATGAGCGTTCTATGATAATTACCAAATCTTTGGAAGCCAGGGCATCATGATCAAGAGAAGAACCAGAGGTAGTCCTTACATCCAAATTCGCACTTTCATTTTCTTCGTTCACTTGCTGGAAAAATATGCATTTAAATGTGAGTTCCACAACTGTAAGATTAGGGAAGGCTTAAACCCACCAGTGTTTAATAAACTACTTACATCACAAAGCCGCCTAAGTTTCCGTTCGTGCAATTCTGATCTTTTCTTAAAAATTCTTTCTTCAAATGAACCAACCTGAAGAATAAATTTCTCTACTCGTTTTGATTTGATAAAACCATTTTTGGGGTCATCAGCCTGTTTTTACAAATCTCACCGTCACAAGGCATTTCCAGAACAAATGCAATAATAATACAGAGCAGATAGATCATACAATTTAAAAATTACCCGTTGCATATCAACTAGGTAGCCACCCAGACTCTTGAAATGATCCTTGTAAACAGTCATCAACAAATCCAGAGCACCCTAATTATTAAAGTAAAAAATTACTTGCAACGGTCATGAACTAGCTACTAAGATATTATTGATAAATACTTTCCCTCGGTAAATAAAATTTGGCCATTAAAAAGAAGGGACTAAAACCTCGTGTATTTCCAGAGATGGCAAGTGAGGAAGAAAATCATTTCCCGCAAAAAAGCACAGGAAGATGAAATCATCAACAATTCGCTCAAGATCAAAGCTGAAGTTCTCAGGAGGACCAGAGATTTTCATGTCAAGCTCCAAATACTCCCTCAAGATCCATACATGCATAAACTGCGATGTAATAGAGAAAAATTAAGATTAAGTGACATGCTGTAACAGACCAAAGTGGGGGACAGCAATTATGATACCTCATATGGCTTTTTCTTTTTGGTGATAATTTTATCATCTTTCAACAAAACTCCAGTTTTAACATCTTCAAACCAGCCTCTTGACTTCACAGAACAAGATTGCTGCTCTTGTGTAAGCACATGCTGTGATATAGATGACAGAAGAGTCACATTGTCGCTAGTGGGCGCCAGAAGATCAGAGAAAGGAAAGGAATTTTATGAAGCAAAATTATAGCTTATGTTTAACATTCCAAAATATAATCAAAATACCTCTCTCAGTATAGAGAAATGAATTTCGTGAGTGGAGAGGGCAAGCATAATAAGGTCAGCGTCCTGTTTGACAATATTTCACAAGTCAAAAATTAGAACTGAATACGGAAGACATTTGAGAAATAAGATGAGGGAAGCAGGAAAGTACTCCTCTAAACTGAAAAATACAAGCGTGCATACTTAATCAATGATATAAAATAGTTGGGCGCGCATACCAGTCCATACAGGCAATGCCGTGTATTTGGGTTATAGTCCGGCAACATACGCTGTTCTCGTATGAAAGACATTATTTTGTGTTCACCCTCACCTGGAACATTACTATCTGAAAGAATAACCTGATGAAATGAAGAATTAGATAATCAGAAAAATTGCTGAGCTTTTTATTTTTATTTTTATTTTTATTTTTTGTTTTTTAAATCCATTCTGGTGACTGAACTGACAAAACAAAAAATTTGATCTACTTGATGTCTCATCTCAAAAATGGTACATAATCTGAGATCTTCATAGCAAGAATGGGACGCATAAATCATCAAATGACGAATCAAAGTAAATGCATGTGGATCAAACCTTGATATCTTTCCAGCCTGGATCCATGCTCATTCTTGAACTGACATAGCTTTGAAGCTTCCTTGACAATTCAAACATGAACTCGGTCCCTGGTGTGATAACATTCGAGTCTGAAATTTCAGAATCCTGTTTTGGAAGAACTCGCTTGCCTTCCATTTCAAATTCTTTTCGCAGTCTATCTTCTTCCATTTCCTATATCATGCATCACACAAACAAGGGTTTAACCATATAAATAGCCACTATAGGCCTAGGTAATACAAAAACCAAGCTATTAAAAACCCACGGCAATCTCCTTGTCTTTCGCAGTTCGAAAACGCCTAGATCTTTGCTGATTCATTTTAGCACGCGGTGCTACCCCATCTGCATTATAAAAATTTTGAACTTTCAAAATAAAGTGTACGCAGACAACAAACCTTTTCTTCATGAAATTAATGAATGATAAACTACTCTCTTTACGGTGCCATTTTACATGAACAATTTCCATTAGAAATAGAGGAAATGAATCACATTGCAACTGCAGTCACATCAATTTGCCAAGCTTAATAAAATTATACTTCTTTTAAAGAACATTAAATGGGACAAAAGTTAAAGAGGAAGAAATTAGCAACATCAATAATGAAAGATTATACTATTTAGTTTCCTTGCAGAAGAAACAAACTGGAATTTAACACGAACTATCTACTGAATAATCTCATGCTCTTTCTCACAAAACAAATACTAAATTAATCATTTGAAAACAATAAAAAGAAAAGAATCTCACCAATGGCCATGTATAGTAGCTTCCTTGGCCTAACAATGCTGAATATATGATCAATATATTCATACGTGTTGTTGAAAACATCATCGAAAGTGGTTGGCAAACTAAGATCATCTGCAGCCTGCAAAAAATAGATCATTCACAAAATTAAGCATGAGATCATAAAAACAACACAATCAATGCAGATATGAGGACAGTGAATTTCTCTCCCTTTTTTTCACAGTATATATGGCAGCCATCATGAAATATTTGCCAAGTATAGAATAATAATAAATATAGGTGAAGAAAATTTCGTGATACTCTTTCCATTTGTATAATATCCTACGCTTTTCAGTGTTGAAAAAGTGAGAAATTAGACTGGACTATTTGTCATGACTAAATTGACCTTCTATCTTCTGAAACCTAAAGCAGCCTGATCAGAAGATGGTCTTGTACAGAAATTTACTGTTTATGTTACTAAAGCTATATATAAGAGATTTTCAAAAACTTTCTTCTCAGTAACTAGAAGTCTAGAAATCCGCATCAGACAAAACAGATTATCATTAAGAAAAAAAAAAAAAGCACTGAACCATTTGTAATGCGAAAAGACAAAATGCGGAAATACAATCGAAAGAAATATCTATTATATATGTATGAACTAACAATATTATCATCTGGATGAAAGCAGGGATGGATTATCCCATTCATGTCAAGATAAAGATTATCAAACTCCATTTCATTTGGGTTTGGTAGGCTAGTATCAATGAGCTCTCCCTTTTCTTCCACAGCTTGTACAACAAGTTTCGGGTACTTGTTCACTAGCCATCTATAAAACGATGGAACTCCCATATCTCTTTGTTTCTCTTTCGTCTACTATGGTGAGTGTAGTGCAAGAGTAGTGTCTTTTTATTGTCTCTTGGACGAATCAAGCAGGAGAGGATCCAAAGCTTAATCAGTGGGATCCAATGACCCCAAGCAGTGGGGTCAAATGACCCTCTGAAATTTTAATAAATAAATAAATGCAAACATTAGCTAGGAAATAAATTGCCTTTTTTTTTCCCCATTTTAAAGAAATCAAATATTTAGATTTTATGTAGTTGACCCCATTGAAATATTATGAAACCCAAGAAAATGGGGTCATTTCTTTTCAATTCAAAGAGTTCATCATTTCTCCACTTTTTCAATTTTTCATGGAAACCAAAACTCTTAAAAGATTTTTCTTTCTTCAATTTTGAGTTTGGAAATACGGTTAAGTATGAGAAATCCTTTAATTAACACCCTCACCACGCTTGTTCAAAGAATAATACCTTTAATTATTTGAGATCCTATTTTTTTCACGTAATTTATAATAATTGAATAATTAAAATCTCTAATTTTATAGAGACTTTCAAAAAAAAATCAGAATAAAAAAAAACTATTTCCTATTTATTGAATTTTTCCAGCATAAAATAAAAACCACTCTTTGTATTTTGGGTTTTCCTGTTTGTTTTTTTATAGAATTTTGTTTTTATCCTTTACTATTATTATTATTTTCATCTCAAATAACTGGGCTTTTTCAATAATTTCTACTGATTAGCATTATTTTTGGCAAACATAGTATATCAAATGAATATTGTGATTATTTTCAATTAATTAGATTTTTGAAAAATATCATTTTTCATATTATCATTAATCAAACAAGAAGAGTAAACTAATGGTAACAATGAAAATATTAAATATTGTTTTTTTTTCTTTTGATCACAAGTCAAATAAATTTAACCTTAATAAAAATATTTACACCCATGGATAATATAGGTTTATAAAAGAAATAAACAACTATTAAGGCAAAATAAATAAGTAAAAATCTTATTCAGTTCTTTTTTTTTTTTTTTCACACCTTTCTCGGATGTGACAGCTATAAAATAAAGTTTTTTATATTATATTCCCAACATAGGCACAAAACAAAAGAGATTTATCTTATTTTAAGAGTAAATCCATAACCAGATATCTTCCAAACTAGCCAGGACTAATCCTCTCCAAGAGCCGTTATTGCCCTTTCTGCATGTGTAATCATGACTTGCGACTTTTCTTTTTTAGACTTGTGTAGGAGACTTCTTCTTTAATAATCTTTTTGGAATTTGTAATACTAAACTTTTTGCCTCTTCTTGTTTCCGATACCAACGTTTTATCCGCAAAATCTTTTGGGATCAATTACTCAACACTATTCTTTACACAATATTAATTACAAATATCTAAATGTAAAAATTATATTTTATGTGACTATAATTTTGAACATTAAATTTTATCAATATTCATATTTCAATAATGGTTTTGAATAAAATAAAATAAAATAAAATTCTATCACAAGGAAAATGAATATTACGAATTTTAGCTTTTCACCAATTTTTTATTTTTTTGTATCAAATTAATTAAACACTAAGTATTGTTTTCTATGCATCAATCTCTATTTCTCTATGGACTATTTAAAGTTTTTATATAAGTCTTTATGTTTTTTTTTCCCAGTACAATTTCAATTTAATTGTTTGAGTCTAGAAAAAAAAATCAAAATGGAAAGCCATTCGGTACTGTTTCCTTCCCTATAATTTTATCAGCTCCAAGTCGATCCTTTCTGGCAAAATTCTAGCCAATTATCCTTTCCATTGAAAGGACGAAGGTGGCAAACATTAATTGTAGCATTAAATGTATATGTTGCGTGTTATCGTTTGTTTTGACGGATGGAGGCTCTATTTAATTCTTCATTCACAAAGCAGATAAGAGAGACAGATGGTTAAAAAACGAAGAGAGATGGAGATATATATAATAAAAAATAGAAGAACTCCCTGCAATTCCAGAAATATCATCAGCAAACCAAGTAAAGCTCGTCAACCAGCATAAATAATCAAGAAATTTTTTCAGGAAAAGCCCACTAATTTATTTGCTAAAAAAGCAAATCCATTACAACTTTCAATTGGATCTTCTCATTCCAGTTATTCTGTAGAGATAAGAGAAACAACAAAAACCATAAAAAAAATTGCAAAAAATGAAAGAGTAGATTTAAAAAGGACTTTAGCATAAAAAAAGAGAGTGAATAATGACCAGGAGAGTGACTGGTATAGTCCTTGTGGATTCCTGGGCGGCAATTCAATTTTCTTTCTTTTCTTTTCTTTTCTTTTCTTTTTCATATATATTTGTCGGGCCTACATGTCAAAGGATAAAGTGGTATCCTCGTCATTTCTTTCATTTGCCTTTAATTGTTCAAGCTGTAAATCGAAACTGAAACTGAAATTCAAAAGCTAAATATGCTATTCAGTCATTCAACTTGAGTCAAATGTCCAAATCAATTCTAATTGGCAGTCCAAATATCATTTTGGTCACTACGCTTCAGTTTTTGGTAATTATGTCCCTGAACCCCTTTATTTTGTTTTAATAGTTGTTTATTTCTTCTATAAACCTATATTATCTGTGGATGTGAATATTTTTATTACGGTTAAATTTGTTTGACTTGTGATCAAAAGAAAAAAAACATTATTTATTGTTTCACTGTTGCATTAGTTTAAATTTCTTGAATAATTCATTCATAATATGAAAAATAATATTCTGAATTGATGGAAAACGATTATAATAATTATTAAATATACTATGTTTGCCAAAAATAAAGTTAATTAATCGATGAAAGCGTGATGATTTGAGATGAAAATGATAATAGAAAAAAAAAAAAAAAATCTAAAAAACAACATATCTATGAGATCTCAAAACATCTAGAGTCGGAGTGGGTTTTATTTTTAGCTGGAAAAGTCCAATAAATAGGAAATGGTTTCTTTTATTCCCAATTTTGTTAGGAAGTCCGTTACAGGTTTTAATTATTCCATTCTCAGAAATTACACGAAAAAATTAGGATATCAAACAATTAAAGGTACTATTCTTTTAACTGATACTTTTGAAGAAATGTCATGAGGGTGTTAAAAGCTTCTTCCCACCGGACCATACTCTCGAACTTAAAATCCGATTTATTTATGTAGACCAGCATTTTACTCATTTTAGCAAAGTATGAGAGTTTGATAAAATTGGTAAATATAGATGGCCAATCACACTATAAAAAAATATCGATAGCAGCTTCTTTTAAGATTAATCACTTGAATTATGCAAATTGTTAATCAGATCCCTTTGGGAACAAAATCTTTTTTGTTGTGATATCGCGACATTATGCACTAATCGTATGTGTGAAGATGTTAAGTGTTTGAAAGTAAGAAAGCAGAGCTGAAGAGAGAAGGAAGGAGAAAACAGAACTGAACAGAGGAGAGGGACGACCTAAACAAAGGAGAGAAACATGGCTACTTCTTCTCATTTAATTGAAAAAATGTATTGCAACCACCATTACAAAAGAGCTTCTTCTTTCTTTTTATACCAGGAAGAAGAAGAAACAAAGTTTTGTTTTGTTTTTAACAAAACCGAAATAACAAACTCAAAACCAATTTCGTGAAAGATACAAAACTAGCCATTAGAATAGGAAAATTACTGAAAGATCCTTCTAATACTCTAATAATAAGTGTTGCTCTACTGTGGACCTTCTATATAAATTAATTTATAATTTATATTTTTTTAATTTTTTTTTAACTTAACAGCCATTAATCTTTAAAGTTTTTAACAATAAATTAAATTAAATTAATTCATTTCTTAATACTCATTTTCTTTATTATATATATTTTTTTATCCAAAATTGTATTTGAAATATGAATATTTATAAAAATTAATGTTCAAAATTATAGCCATATAAAATATAATTTTCACATGTAACATAATATATTTTTAATTAATATGTTTTAATGAGATTCTGGCTAAAAAACATACAAGTACTGTAATGTGGATTTTCATAGGTGTCTTCTAACTATGTATGAAAAAGTATAATTAGTGATTTGAAAAAAAAAAAAAGAGTCGTTTTACGGTGCAAGTAAGATAAAATATTTAAAATTAATTTAAAAAATTATTTTAGTTTGATAGTTTATATTACGGATCTATTAAAATATGTTGAATAAAAAATTAAAAAAGAAATTATCAAGTTTCATAATTTTTTAATCAAAATTTATATTTAATTTTTTTCATATATTTTGTAGTTAAAAAAAAACACAATTTATTCTTCCTTATATATTGATTAAAATAAAATCAATAATAATTTAATTCAAAATTTTAATTCAAAAATTTTGAAATACCTTAATATTTTTTTTATAAAATTCCATAAAAAATAAGGCAACTATTGATAGAAAAACCTTTATAAAAATCAATAGATGGAATTTTTTTTTCGGTCGATGAGAAAATTATTTTAAAAAAAGTACAAATATTGGAGAAGAAACAAGAAAAAGGAAACGAAGGTGCCCCACTACATTTATGGGGAAGAAAAAAAACCACAAAGATTAATGATTCACCAATCCCCCAAGTCAAATGCTGGAGGCAAAGCAAAATGGAGGAGGAAAATGGAAACCACAACAATCGTTATGCAGCATTAAATGCTGTGGAAAAAACAGACTAACCAAAAAGGACAAAAAGATTGGAATGAAAGGAAACAAACAGCTTGAAAAAATAGGTGACATGACATCATAGCAAATGACATAAATAAAAATCGTCTCAAAACACAAGGGCAAAAAAAAAAAAAAAAAAAACCAATTTGTCTGGTACAAATTCTAAAAAAGAGATGAAAAAAAGCGAATGAAAAATAATATTTTAATACATATTAGAAGGAATAGATAGAGAATAATGCGACATCAAGCAACGTCACCCACACGTCATCAAATGAACGATCCAAATGCATAGAGAGAGAGAGAGAGAGAGAGACAGTGCAGCTGAGTGATAGTTTACTGTTGCTCAAGCCTGTGTGAACAGAATAATAATAATAATAATAATGTTTTGATTGTGCCGTACAATTCAATCGCTTTGTTTAATATTGTGTAACAGTAGTAATGAGTCTTTGATCCTAGAAAGAAGGATTTTGCAGATAAAAACTTGGTATGGAAAACACGAACAGTAAAAAATTTTAGTAATACGGATTCCAAAATGGTTATCGAAGGTGAAGTCCGGCCATCTCCTGCAGAAGTACTCTAAAAGAGAACTCATCGTTACACATGCAGCTCTTTGAGGGAATTAAGATCAATCTAGTTATGGATTTACTCTTTATCTTACTAAGAATAAGCAAGATAGTACTATACAAATTTTAAAAGCGTCGAATCACCCTCTTTTGTTTTGTGAACATATATTTTAGGAATATAATACAAAAAACTTCATTCTCCATCTGTCAAATCTGAAAAAGGAAAAAAAATAAAAAAAGATTTAATTATATATTTTTTACAATTTAATTCATAGTTGTCAAATTCAGTTTGTTTGTTCTGAAAGTCTAATCTGAAACCAAATTTGAATTGGATTTGTAATTAAACTAACCAGGATATTGATTCAATTAAATTCAAACAACATGATTAAAATTCAGTCGATCCTGTTGAAACCCAATTAGATCAAAATTTTAATTTTGAAAACAGAAAGAAAGGAAAAGGATAAATTTTTTATACTAACGTTTAAACCTTAATCCTCTTTTATCAATTTTTTTTTTAATAAACTTACCAAAAAAATACGCATGATAATTTAGTTTTAATATATAATATTATAATTGACTAATTGGGGTCAACTTATTGACTCTAAATCTAATTATCCAAAACTTTGAGAGCACCAGGTTTTAGTATCACAACTATCGTTTAATCAAGTCTTATAAATATTAATGTTAACTCTATTTACAAGATAGTAATTCCAAAGAGTACTATGAAATTATTTTTTAAATTTTATGTGATAATTTAAATTTTTAAGTTAAAATAATTTTTTAATATGTAATTAAACTAAATATTGAAAAGGCTCCAAATTTGAAATTTATTTCCAAGTGGTGTTGCTGCAACGTGTCTATTTGGCAATCTCTGATTTCCTCCCTAAACCCAAACTGGACCTTTATTAAAGGAGGGCTCAGTCCAATTTTCTCAAACTTAAATATAAAGAGATGCCCCAATTAAAGACCATGCATACCCCATGATTTAGCTTAATTGATTGAAAGAGACACGGATTGTGTACAAGTAAAACTTTCCACAAATTCATATAATTAAATTATACAAAATATATATAGCAATAGATTATAATAATGAAAATGTGCTAATTGAAAAGAAATTAAGCTTAAAAGAAAATTACAGGACAAAATTAATTATGTGAGAAGGAAGAAAAAAAAAGATTCCGGATATTGTATATTTTAAGGTATATACAATCACAGTCCAATTATAAATAAAATAGACTGTGATATATCAAAAGGAAAACATTGTATTATATCCCTGTTTAGTTTTTTGTTTTTTTATAAACCATTGAAATCTTTTACTGCTCTAATTGATCAGAGTCTACCTGTAGTTGCTGTTGCAGGCTTGCAGCTAGCGTTGGCAAAACCCAACCTTGTGGTTTTTTAAGTTTCTTATTACAATATATATATATTGTAGATAAAATAAACATTCTCACACAAAAAAATAATTGCAAATAAAACCATGAAAGAAGAAAATAATCTGAAGTTCTAAACTACAGAATTCAATTCTAAATTAATCATTCAACCTAACTTTGTACATGTAGTAATTATGAGGCATTGCCTCATTGGAGCAACAAAAAAATATAGGAGTATAGGTGTTGTTACATATTGATTGAGCTAAGTAAAAGCTATTCTTTGTAGACGTTGGGCCTGCAAGAAATTAGTATGAAAAGATCCATCACTTGGAATATAAACAACAAATCTTGACGAAAACACTGCTACCACATGGGTGATGAAAGTAAGTGAAGAAGTTACGCATCCCAGTTTTGGAAAATTACCTCAAGCTTTATAAAAGTAGAAGTAAAGATACATTATGGTTTCCCTTTCTTCAGACTCATTTTTAATGCCTCATGACATCATATCTTAACAAGATAAACTTTCATGATTTTCATTCCTACGGCCATCGTCATCATCAAGCTATACATTTTCACCTAACATGATAAATACGTACTTCGGTTGAAGGGCTCTTGAGCAAAATTGCACCGACAGGATTCTAAGTTGATCTCGTTACCGAGGATGAAGAAGGAAGGAGAAGCAATGCATTTATTAGTACGATATCACAAATTACAATGAGGCAAAGCAATGACAAGATGGAAATTCTGATATGAAAAAAGCAATATATATAGCTTGCCTGAGGTGCTGAACGTAATATTCTAGAGAATGTAAATCATGTTACATGGTGTTCCGTTTCTATGTAGCAAGATCCAAAAATTATGCTAGTTCAAATTCCATTAAACATATTCTTTTCGATAACAGTGGCTAATTAAAACTCTAAAATATTATTGTTTTATCGCCCAATGGCAGCATAGCTAGAATGGAATTATTTGAATGTGTACGTGTTAATTAGTTAATTTTGTTCCCCGGGCCAAATTAAAAGAAAAAAATTAAGAAAAATCTTTATAGCTTGGCTTGCAAGTTAGAAGCCCTCTAAATATATATTAGTCAATCGGCGCAATGATCCTTGTCAAAAATAGATAAAGATAAAATTGAATACGGAAGAATCATATTCACTCAATCTCAATCTAATTAACTTATTTTTCAATAATAAAGTTTGAAATATGACTGGTCATGATTTTTTGAAGACTTAAGAAGATATAAATCTCCTTAAACAGTTCATCATTTATTACATTTTTATAAAATAAAGAAAAAAGTGCCAATAGTATGCTTCTTATTTGAAAAATATTTCAAACACTGACTAAATTAACTCAATTAATGCCAGTAGAATTCTTATGCAACCATCAAAAAGGAAAGAGTAAGAAAGAAAAAAAAAGCCCTCTATTGGAAGGGTACAAAAATAGAAGAACTAACATAGCTAGTGCTAGAAGCAAACTTTGCGTTGCTTATACATCAACATGACAATGTTGTACAATCTGATACTTGATCCCTGTTCCGACATTGATTCCATTACTCTGGCTGCCAAGAGTTATGTAAGCTGGGCAATTCACGAATATTCGGTACTTGCCAGACAACCAAGAACCAACCTTCCATTTTAGATTCCCATTAATCTTGACATTCAACAGCACAAACCCAGCATTCACGTCTTGGCTAAGAGAAACAGCAAGAGATTGAGACACTGGCACAACATTACCATTCAGAAAAGGAGACCACACTGAGAAATCATTGTGACCTTGGTATGTCGTAGGTAGTTCAGTTGCCAGGGTTATCTGTTGGTTATGATAAGAAGCATAAATGTCAAGCTTTTCATAGAATATACCAACCTTGTCGTTGGGGTTTTTGGTAGCTATGGTAACTTGCATGTTAGAAGAAAGGAAATTTGGGTCTGAAAGATTCAAGCCATAGATGGTAGTATCTTCAAGGATGAACCTAGGCTTGTGGGGCTGTAAAATGATCCATACAAGGAAGATTACCACCAGAATGGTGATGATGAAGGCAAGAATGCCTATGAATATGTAGCGGTGGCGCTTGTTCTCGTGGTGGTGGTGGTGGCCACAGTCTTCCACTTCCTTGCAGAACATGGTTGTCAAATTAAGCTGGGGGCTTCAAAAGATAATATTATAGAGAAGGAGACTAAGAAAAAATTATTTGCAAAGAAGGATTGATGAAGAGACTAGAGATCGGGTCAATTGTGTGGTCTCTATATAGAGGAGGGATGTGAAAGTGATTTATGTAAATGGAAACTAAATAGTGTCAAGTACTGATATATTGATGAATATATACATCAATGGAGAAGAGCGTACGAACGCAGACAGTGGGAGGTGGGTCTAGTTAAGTTCTTCAAGTTATAAGGAGACGAATTGAAACAGGCAGAAAAGGACCATACAGAGGACCAATCATGTAGCTATCAAACAAATTTTTTATTATGGTGTTAGCTATAGACAAAAACATCATATCCACTACCAGCATTTCGATCCATAACTAAGTAAATAGGAAAAAACATTTATGGTGTTAGCTATTGACCAATTAAACAAAAATATAGTATTGTTTTTATTTAAAAAAAAAAAAACAAAGCATTGATATTCTTTTCATCTCTTGTAAAGTTTCAGTACCTGCCACTGTAGCCTTTGTTGATTTAATTGTTATTTTCACATAAAAAATCTAGTGCGGTGCTGGTTAATTTAGTTAATAAAATTAATCAGATGATATATAGCAAAAGACTACTTTAACTTCCACAATTATGAATTGTAGAATTGGTCTAAAAAAGAAAGAAAATAAACCAGAAATTAATATGCTAAAATGTTAATGTTTTCGCATTAGTATTCTGACAACCATGCACCATTTAAGGTTATTGAATATAAATAAACTCAATAATTCTATGACGTTCATCATCTACATTATTTCGATATCCAAAACATTAAAATTTTAAACTTTTTCCAATAGATTAACAACTGAATTAAGAAAACATTAATTAAACAACGACAATACACATATCTATATATCGCTCTCAATGGATTCTACCAACCAGCTGGTCGTGATCTGAGATTATTACTAATATATATATTTTTTAAAAGATTGATTGGATAACAAGTTTCCGCACATCATTCCACGGGACCCCAAAAACCGTGGTTGTTAATCAATTATACAAAGACAATTGTAGCTAATGGGTGGCCTTATTATCATATATATCAGGTGGATGAAGATTTGTAATTGGTTGTTGTAAGTGATTGATGAGCATGCAAGCGATCAGGGACAACAACCACAAATATCATGTTTGCCTTGCTTTAAAGAGAAACATATACATAGGACACTAAGCTTTTTGAATATTCATGCATATGTATGTAATTTAGTATTTGTATAAGAATAATTAAAGATCCCTTCCTAAACTTTTCCTTCCTTACTCCCTCCCTCTTAACTATCATGCTATATATATATATATGTATATATGCACACTAGTCGTCATGCATGCGAAGAAATGAGTTAACTGTTTGTTCGCATGTCTTGAGACCGAAATGGAACACAGTTTCTCTGCTTTGGCAATATGACTTCCATTATTGGAAAAAATCATTATACACATTGGCGTTTTTATTTAAAATTAAAACGATCGATTGATGTCAATGAACGTAATTTAAATAGTGGGATTAACATCTCTTCTCTTCCAAAGAGGTTTTGTAAGTTCACACTCCTTAAAAATAAAAAAATAAAAAAAATCGTTCAATAATTTTTTTTTTTTACCAATCTAAATGAATCAATAGAAAAGAAAATCTTTATAATTAATACACTAGAGTTATTGATCATTCTGTAAGTATTAAGTTAGATGGTTGGGATTAATTTCATTCAAAAAAACTTATAATTACGTTAAGTGTTTCATTATACAACCTCTATATTATTTTATACATTTGTATTTATATTACTACCAGATAGATTTTGCAAGAATAAAAATCAATTAAAAAAAAATTCATATCATACACCAGCTGATCTTGTTTAGTTATTGATCGGTGCCACTATCGGTACTTTTACGGTATTTTTTTAAGTTATAAGTTGATGACAAATTTATCCCTCTCCTTCTATAACTAACATGTCATGAATACTACTTTTTAAAAATAATCCAATATTCAATGCCATTTGTGATATTCAAACCCTAATCTTAATTAATTAAGATTAAAAAAGCAATAACACTAAGCACTCCGCCACCAGACCCCGAGTCATTTATTAATTTTAATCCAATATCCACAGTACATTTGCAACAAATGCCTTGGCTCATATTCATCAAAATATAAATTCCATAAATAAAGTGAAATGCATAACCAAAAATATTATATATTTATAAATGAAACATTGAGAAAACTAAAATATTTATTTTATATTTCTACTATAATTAAAAAATAAATATAAATAGTTTGCAATGTTTTATTTGTATAACCCAAATGAAAAATACAGACGTGGTATTTATACTAAAAATATCATTAAATTTGTTCTAAAATTATAGTTCAAAGTTTTTATTTAAAGAGTATTAATTATATTTCATTGTGGATATGTTTTGTTTAATATGAAACAGGTTATTTGTTGCAAAATATTTTACAGTATTCCTAACTACAAAGAGATAAATGGAGCATATAATAAGTTTGTGGGTTAGTGAATATTGCATTAAATAAATGGAGCATAAATATCAACAAATAATTTGTGTTCTAAGTGTTTGATGTTATAGGTTTCTAAAAATTAAAGGTTCAAATCAGTCTAAAAATAACATTGAATTATTTCTAAAATATGACAAATATTAATTAACATTTCAGATGAAAAAAATATATATATTAACATTTCAGATTAAAAGAAGGAAATGCCGTTAGTAAGTAATAGAATGAATAGATTTGCCATTTCTCCCAAAATGGATCTTATCCTTATAAATGATTAGTCCACTGGGCCAAAATAAAGGTAACTCATCTGAGGATTGTAGAGTAATTTCCCTACTTTGAGGCCTGATTGTGACTTTGCGGATCGAAGATGAAAGATTCTTTTGGTGGGCTGAACTGTTATGCATGCTTTGCTTTATTGTTTATTGCTGCTTCTTTGGATCGGTGAGTCATAAAGCATTGATAAAGCTCAGGCATCATCATCTATGGGCCTAAGCCCATCATACAAAAATCTTTTCATGGATCAGGTTTTGGATTCTTGCATGCTATATTATCTCAACACTCAAAGAAGTTTCGGAGCAATCTAAGTCCTTATACTTTATTTTCTTCTTTTTTATTCAACTTTTTACATATCTAAAAAATAAAAAATAAAAAAGCGATTAAGTATATTTATTCTGAAAATAATCTTGATATGGAAATTTTTTAAATAATATTGAAAACGGTATTGTTAGAACATATGTACTTGATTGGTCATATTTTAAGAATGCCACAATCCGAATAGGAAAAAATAAAAAATAAAATGATAGGAGCTCAAATGTATAATTTTTTACAATGTATAGATACTGAAATTGTAATTATGTAGGGGATAAAATCAATTTAGTCTCTAATCTTTATATTGATCATTTTCTTTTGAATTCCAAAACTACAAAATTTATCAATAGGTTCTAGATATTTTAGATGATTCTCAATTCGATCATTTTCTTAATGTTCATTAATTTTTTCATATTTTTTTTACATAAAGATTTTTTTTTATTGCATAAAATATACGAATTAAATTAGAAATAATAAAAAATTGAAAAAGAATACAATTGAAAAGTTTAGAAAATATTTGGGACCTAGTTAACATAATCTATAAGTTTGGAACCAAATTGAGAATGTGTATAAAAGGTTAGTTAGCAGATAAATTGAAGTTTTAAATAGCACTCTTCCCGTTGAGAGGAAGTGAGGTATTGGGTTCAGTCCTGATCTTCTCAAGAATTTTAAAATCTGAAGCTGCTAGAAGAAAGCTGAATAGAATTTATAATTTATAATTTATTTAGCAAACTCCCATCTTAAATATGGATAAAACTTGAAAGGAAATTAATGTTGACAAAAGTTTTGATCAACAACTGAATAGAATTTATATTTTTTTATTTAAAAAGTATCAATTTTGTAATTATTATTATAAAGAAAATGTTCGAACTTAATATCTGTGGATGAAGAAAACATAAATAGCAGCTAAATATGGTTTTTCTTTACCTTTAATTGCTGTTCTCCACTAATACTCTTGGCTTCTTTTAATTAAGACCATCGACAAATAGAGAATTGAAAATCTCCATTTCATGCTTTAATAAAACTAAGCCAAGCTCAACTCCACCCCTCCCATCTGCATTCTCGCTGATAGAAATCGATGCTGTCCTATCAAGGGAAGGAGACTCCACCTTCCTCGGCATACCCCAACCAAAATCAGCCTTATAAACCTGGAACAGAGGTGACCCAGTAATCGTAACCATTAGTGTGCCAGGCCTAATAGCCATAAATTCTGCAAATTTTTCTTTAGCTCCATCAAGAACTCCTTCATTTAGCCTTATGATAACTTCACTCAGTCTTTCTACGACGCTAAAATACCCATTTTCTTGAACAACAGTTTGTGGATCTATGTGTATTAAAAAAGGCATAACACAACACCCAAAATAGTTCTCAGGTATGCCTATACGGGCTCTACAATCTGCTGAAAGTCCAAGAACAACATTTCCGTCACCTTCTACCCCTTTTGCCTTAATTATACAAACAAATACGTATGCATAAGATAGCACGAAACTAGATAAGTGCATCGGTTTTGTTTCAATATCTAGTTGGAGTTTTTCAATTTGAGACAGAACTCTTTCCCTCAGATTATTTATGTCTTCACAAGACAACCTGACCATGGCCCGAACTTTGTTGTGAGGATCTGTTATGACTTGCTTAAAAAGTTTTAAACTTCTATCCTTGTTATCAAAACCTGGCAGGTTGATGAGTTCAGACCAGCCGTTCAAGTACACCATGTCAATCCCATCTGGATCTTGGATAACTGTTCGATCAAGAAAAGGGGTTATTTGTGGTGGCAAACTAATCAGATCGGCCTTTTCATTTTCACTAACTTGTTTGTACAAATGAGCCCATGCTCTAACGAACGTGGCTACGTTTTTACC